GGCCGCGGTGGTGGCGGCCGCGGCGGCCGAGGGTGCCGCGGCACTCGCCGCGTATTGGTAGGTAGCGGCTGCGCTTGGCGCGGCGGTAGCGACTATCGGAGCGAGCAAGTGGTGGTGAGGAGGACCGGCGGTGGCCGCGGCGGCTGCATGTGCGGCCGCGGCGGCAGCCGTCGGCAAGGGATACGGCGCGTAGCGATAGGTGGTGGGGGTGGGTGTCGCGACCATCACCAACTCACCGTATGCGCCTCTGCTGGCCGCTCGCGTCTTCGCCAGATTCGCTGGGAGCATCACTTCCTTCGGCTGTGCCTTCTTGCACTCGACCTTGAAATTTCAGACAGTGCAGGTGAGGAAACAGAGACGGATTTACGCGTCGACCGGCTGGTACGAGAGATTCCGGAGGGAGGGGTGTGAACGAGCGATCGTTGCAAATCGTCGGGGCAACAAGTAGTAACGCGTGGGTGAGACGCGATGAGAAGTGAGTTATAGAGGGGTTCATTGCGATGTCGGGTGTTACTTGTTATTCGCTTCTTCTGTGCGTCATCGGACGTTATCTTTAGCTGAAAGCGCGTGTGTAACGAAGTAACCAAATGTCGGGGATGGGGTTCGAGGTGACTATCGAGGCCGGATCAGTGGCGAGTTTACTTGGGGATTTTTTAGTGATGTGAGGTGGCATCAAGGAAAGTACTTGACCGATGAGCGAAAGAGCTTCCCGTCGTAGTAGAAGGCAAACATCTCTTTCTTTAGCGAGCAACCTATGCGATATCTATCACGGCGAGCTCTTTCGTCTCTCTCTCTCTCTCTCTCTCTTTCTTTCTCTCGCGTATGACTGCTTCTGCATGTGTACGTCGCGTGCGTGTCAAATGCAAATAACGGAGAGATAGACCTTCTCGATTATACGGAAAATTAATTCCGCTCGACGCCATATTCGCAGACAGCGAGCGAAAGGCAAATACCTTTTGATGCAACCTCTGCGGGTACGTAGGTAAAGTAAAGGGAGGCACTTTTGGCTCTACGAATAGACTTTCCTGCCGAGGCGACTCACCATTTTGTTGTTGATTTCGTGGAAATGGATCTCGCAGACTTTGTCGACGACATCCTCGCTTTGAAACGTGACAAACCCAAAGCCTGAAAAAAGAAGCACATAGATTCTCGTTAAATCGTGATTTGTAGTGTCTATATTGGATGAAATGTGAATATTCGAAGTAACAGATCGGTTCAATTTGGGACGTGGTAATATATATTTCCTCGTCGAACTCGCGATTCCGCGAATTTTCCAATTTACGTTCTTCGATATTTAAAAAAACGGGTCACTGCGACGGGTTTTGAATGTATAGCTCGATTCGTACAATTAACATATCGTGCCGCATTGAGCGATAAGGAGCTAAGTTATTTATCGCATTACAAGTTCCAGAAGTATTTGGCATTCAAGCGGATCGACCCGCATTAATAAGCGAATCCGCATAGTTTTAAATCGGAGAGGCCGCTATTGGCAGGGACGCGAGCTTCCTGGTTTCGTTGCATATTCGCGGGAATAAGAAACCATCCCAGATTTCCATTAATTTAGCTGACGGAGCAAACGAGTCTCGTTTCTTCCCTCGCACCGCTCGAACGCGGTCTGAGCGAAATCTCCGTGAAATTTATTTCAGCCGAAGACGAACAGCGGGAAGGAGAGACAGCGAGCCGGCGAAGAGAGTCGTAACTTAATCAAGCATCAAGGGTTATTAAAAACTTTGCATTGCTCTCCGGGCGATTTTAATCTCGCCCTTCCCTTGCGTCGACTCCTTCCTCCCCCTTTCGTTCGTTCACTCTGTCGCTAGTTCTCGCTCTCTCTCTCTCTCTCTCTCTTTCTCTCTCTCTCATAGGTAGTAATTTCAGTCTCGAGATATCCGGCGAACGCGAGTTATACGAATCTGGTGCGCGATGTTGCTTAAGATAACTCGGAGTTAGTGCTTCCGTACTGAAGCAGTTGCCGAAGCTGCGCTAGCTGACCCGTAATTAAACGCATCCTTTGGTCATCCGGGAGGAATGTAGGCTGGCAATCCGCGGTTCCGCTTCATCTCCGCCCAGGAAGTCACCACAAAGTGCGGTAACATCAAAGATTACCGGGATAATTAACTTTCCACACCTAGTATACAGTAGTATATCGCCCGGTCTTAATATCCTCACGAACGTCCTACATCGATGCGTTATCGAGCGGTGAAAAATTCAACGCCCGATTTCCTCGGTTCCCCGTCGTTTCGGAAGTCGAATCGGGCGTCCGTCCGCGCAAATATATATCTAAAAGTTTCATCAGCTATCCGTTTAAATCAGGAAAGTCGCGTGATTGATCGAGCTGCAGTCTCCCGGTAAGATATAGATATCGCGTTCTTCTTAATTGCCGGATGAAGGAGCCGCTGGCGCGCTGCTGCCGTCACCGTTGCCTCGCGAAGAAAACTTGCCGAGACGTCGGCGCTGAGACAATATGTGCACGACACATTCAATTATTCAACGCTGACACCATTAATCGTTCGGCTCGTTCTCCGTCGGATTCTTTCTCTCTCACATCCTCCGCGCTCTATCCGTCTCTCCGGCGTACTACCCGCCCGTACCCCGCGCACCCGCTCCCCGTTTCTCGACCGTTCCGTCTCTCGCATCCTCTCTCATCCACCTAAGCTCCTCCTCTACTACGGGTAGCACGAGTGATTAAGTTATAAACTTGGCAAGACGTCCGTTTGAGCGCGCGGAAGGGGCTTACTTCATTTATGTAATTTATAGTACTCTGCCAGTCTAGCTAACTCCGCGGAGCCCAAGCCACTCCCCTAACACAAAGGCCATGTCCTGACACCGGTAACATTTAACTACCCAACCCCGTCTTCCTGCCCCATCACTTCGACGGTTCTCCCCCACGAAGAACGCGACAGCGGTATGGACTACACGCTGACATTCTCCGATAGCGGTTCGTCTTTTCGAGCGTGTCGCGCGGGATATTAAGAAATCGTCCTCCTTTACGAGACATCGAGGAGTTATGATTCATCCCCCGCTCGCGAGAGGGGGAGGAGGATTATTCGCGGGATAATATTTCGAGGTGAGCAGCCTTTCTCTCTCTCTCTCTCGAGATGTTCCTAATAAAATCAAGTCTTCCGTGTTCTTAATCGTTCCGACGTGGGAGTCCTTCTCGTCGTTAAAAGCCTTTCATTTCTTCCACGGCGTCGAGTACGACGAAGAATGACCGCAGGGTCGGGCGAGCGTGGGTGTATGTGTGTGTGTGGAAGCACGGTCAGCGATATACGCGAGAGTCTCGATAAATTGCCAGCCCTCCTCCTCCCACGCGGTCAAACTCGAATTTTCATAAGAGAATTTATTCCCGCGGCTCCGGACCCGTAGCCTCTCCGCGAACCTCCATTTTCGCGTCCGTGGTCGACGTACAAAGGGACGTAACCGCTCCCGCCGACCGACCGACCAACCGACCATCCAACCAAGCAAGGAACAGATCGACCGACCTCTCGTGGGGTTGAACGAGGCGAGGAAAAAATGCGAGCTCAGCTGGCCGACCCCTCGCCGGACGCCAGATGCGCTCATTTCAATAAAAAACACACTTCGAGATATCCCTCCGGCCGGGGCTCATCCTTTCGACCTCCGAGAGCTCCTTAAACGATCCATAAGCGGCCCCGACGGCGCGGAATTACCATCGGCAACCTCCTCGCCGCAGGATCGCAGCGCGTCATTCCACCCTGGAGGCGCAGAGCGAGCGCGGGGGGTACCTTACGGTTTCATAAAAGCCGCGCGAATGGACGGGCGAGGCGTTCACGGCGGGAAAAACGATTATTTACGATCCCGCGAACTGGTCGCTCGAATATATTACGCGAGATCGGCGGGCCGATAGTCGGCGCGCGCCTCTCATTACCATGGATATCGCTGAGAGATGCCGTGTTCGATTAGAGCCGCCGTCGGGTTCACGCTGATTAATAATATTCACAGTATTTAACGACAGCTAATTCGTATGTATGTATGTGTGTTGTACGTACGCGCGCGCGAAATGCACATTTCCACGCGGCGATTTCGGGAGGGAGGGGGGCGCATACGTTCGCATCTCCACCGGGTCAATTATTTACGCCGAACAAAAAGCAAACGACGCGTACGTTTAAACGCGATTAAAAAGTTGCGCGAGCGCAAGTGCACATACAGTATTTTAGGATCGTATTACACGGCGGCGGACAAATATGTACAGGCGCATGGGGCGAAATTGCATCAATACGGGCGAGCGTGCACCACACGCACCACGCAAAACGAGATTTTTCTCCCCTCCCTCCCTTCCCCTCGCGCCACCGTTGGTGCGATCCTACCGCATCCTTGCAAAGGAATCGCGATGGGGTGAGAACGACGGCGGAGAGAACGGAGAGAGACGTGTTCTCTCTGTTCTCACCGCCGTCTTCTTTCCGCTCCGCGGCGCACACCACTACATTCTCCTCGCCCCTTCGTCACCACTCGTCGACCTCTTGTTTCTTCCTATACCGCTTATTCTCCCTCCGATTCTCGAGTATAATGCGACCCCGCCATTGTGCCGAGCACGAGCGAGCGCGTGTTAACGTTTAAAAGCCGCGCGGCGGCCGGCGAGCGCGTTTCAGAATTTTATCGTGCATTGAGAATAAAGGTAAAAGGTTTCTTTCAAAAGGCACGCCGGCGGAACGATTTAAAACTTGTAAATGGATAGGAGTTAGACCCTCTCCGCGCTCCTCCGTCTTCGTCGTCTCGCCGATATCGCGCAACCACCCTATTCGTCCGCCGTCTTCGCCGCCCCGCCGGCACATAAAACTTCCGCGAACTTTTGTTTGTTTCCCGCGATGTATTTACGACGCGGAATCTCGGGGTGATCGATATACCGAGAGAGCCGCCGCGGAACGAAGTGACTATTTTATTTTTAATGTCGAACTTTGATGGCCGGTTTTACGAGCAGCGCCGACGGTAACGATAACGGTTACTTCTACGTCAATTTAACATTGTGGCGCTCGCTTCCACGGGTCGCTTCGCGTCCTGCCGCGCGGCGCACCGTTAAAATCTTGCGGTTAATTCCCCCCGACGTTTATCGTATTTTTCACCGTCGCCTTGTGCAATTGTTGCGTCGCACGGTCGTCTCGTTCCTGACGTTGCCGAGTTAGCGGACGGGTCATTCGATGAGAGTATCGTGGCGATAACGACAAACGGCGGCGCGTGGATCTGAGACGTCGGCGCGAGACCACGGATATTATCCCGCGTGAAAATCCGACGTTGAAATCTCACGGTTAATTGCCGTCGATTATAAACATATTCCTCGCGATTACGCTCGATAATTGATAATATCACGGCCGTTTGCTTTTTAACGCCGTCGAACTTTGATGACTCCTTTTACGAGAGGCGTGGACGGTAACGATAACGACTCCCTTTATGCGGTTCCAACGTTGTAAAACGGATCGTTTCATGTCGGGATTCAGTTAAAATCTTGCAATTAATTTTCCTTCATTGTAATCACGCTGTTCGCCACTTCTAGCCGCTCGTATAACGCCGTTATCTCATTTCGCGTCGGAAATTATCTTATTTACAATCCGTTCACTGTGATCAATTTAACGCAGTCACATCGCGATACGAAATGCAATCTAATTCTGATAGAAAACCACCCGTGTCGACCTCCGGATGGAAATTAATCGGGGCCTGCCTCGAGTCTGTACTGGTTCTAGATAGGCATATCCCGAAATAAGCCTGTCTTCGTCGGGCCTAGATATGGCCAAGAAAGGTAAATTCTGAAAGGAAATTTGTGAGCAAGCGCTAATGAGAATGTCCTAATTTGTACGAGCGTTGTATTTCTGTCCAGTGTTCACGTGGGCTTCCCTTTATAGAATAGATATATGTGGGGAAAAATTGTGCAAAGCCTTTCCAGTCCCCGTTTGAAATTTCTACCTGGGTTGTCACGTTGCCGAGTGAACTCGTCGCGTTGAAAACAAGCGATATTTCAATCGTAGCATAAGAGCAACGCGATGCTCGTCGATTAATAGTTTCAATTCTTAATGTCACGTGGCATTGACGGTAATTGGCCCTAATGACTGGCCGCTATATACGCACTTGTCAAATCCTCCATTTACTTAAGCGCCGTTCTATTCTAATGCGCTAGCTGG